ACAAAACAATTACAGAGGAAGTTGAAGAACGTAGCATTAAAAGGTTATTAGTGAACAGGGAAGACAAAAGACCCAACCATTAACATTCAGAGTCAGTTTAATCATAAGAAGCAACACTGAGTAAATTTATTGTAAAACACCATTAGAGGAAAAGCAAAGAATAATAATTGCTAACACCTTTCCTTTCTTTCCTACCAAATGTCCTTCAGCAAAAAAGATCTTTATCTTAAGTATCTGAGTAGTCACTGATTCCGGTTTTTTCTCTTTTACAAAATTCAAATACGTATGACAAAAGAAAGAATTGCTCTGCTAGCTAAACCTATGCTATTTTAAGATGAGAATTATTAACTTATTAAAATACCTAGAATCAGCATTTATTTTTATAACATGAAGCATAAAACAAATTTCTTAAATTACATTTCCTTCTTTGTTATGACCTAACTAAAATTTTAGAAGACAGCTATTATCAAAGGCCTTCTTACCACATCAGCTCCATCCACCTTGTTCAAGGCCAAAGCAATCTGAAATAAAAATAACAACTCATCTACTAAATGAAATTCTATTGCAGGGCATACAGCAAACGTTCACCTCTTACTGCTTCCTCGTTGGCAAAAATCCACAGAAGTTCGTATCAAGGATAGTATGTTTAAGAAAAGAATAAAAGCTGTGCCGTACTGGCTTCAACAGTTCTAGTTTCACTCACGTGGAGTTCTACTGCTCAGATACCATCCCACTCTGCTGTTCAATCACAAAACTAACCTCAAAACAAGTATGTTCTCTTCTACTTTGCTTTAAATAAAATAACAAATTTTGAAAAATATTTCTTCAGGTACTCACTATGGAAAGAACTGTTATTAGAAGTATTCTGACAATCAAATCCTATTTCCTCATTTTTTGCTATCAGGCAATGCAGTAAAACTTTCACATTAAACTCTTGCAAACCTAAAAAACTTATAGCATTAACAAATTTAGACTAATAATAAAGTTAAATACAAAAACTCTAAAGGAGTGAGCAAAGATACACAGCCGCTAAGCGGTGAGGCTGTGACGTGGTCTGTCTCACGTTTAAGGAGCAACATGCAACAGTTACCCTGGAATGCTACAGAAAACTTCAGTCATTTCCAAAGAATGATGAAAGGCTAAAACAAATCACAAATTAGAGAATCTAAAGTATTGCCTTCCAGGTTTCCAAAGTCAAAGCATTTTTACTGCTATTGACATTGACATCAACATTGTAGAATAATAAATAAACACCTCTTTGAGAACAACACTACAAACTGCAATATGATTTCCTCTTTTTATTTTACTCATTTATTCACTTTGTTTTTTAGTTTTTTGTAGAGACAGGAGTCTTGCTATCTTGCCCAAGCTGATCTTGAACACCTGGCCTCAAGAGAGCCTCTGGCCGTGGCCTCCCAAAGTGTTGGGATTACAGGTGTGAACCACTGTGTCCAGCATCCTCTTTTTAAAGGAGAATTTTTTTTTAAGTTAAACTATTAGGCAGATCACGTGGACTTTCTATTTATTTAGGTTCAGTACAGTAAATCGCTCTTGTTCCCGAAATACCTACTATTTACTTCTTGTTACCTGGACTAACTCAATACACGTTTAGGAATTATGTGCTACAGACATAAACACAGGTAGGGTAGAAAATTGTGATAGCCTGAAATAAAGCCCTACTTTTCATGACTTAAGTTGTAGTAAACTCGGGGTGACCTCTAATAGTATCCTTCTCTCTTTTCCCCAGGGCCACTGGTGACATATCCTTTTAAAATCTCAGTGTGATTTCCAGTGTTTGAGCCCATAGTGTCTTATCTTTCAAGGCCCAATTATTCCTGATAATCAAGCTTGAATTAAGCTGGGCGCGGTGGCTCTCGCCTATAATCCTAGCACTCTGGGAGGCTGAAGTGGGTGGATCGCTTGAGCTCAGGAGTTCGAGACCAGCCTGAGCAAGAGCGAGACCTGTCTCTAACTAAAAAATAGAAAAAAAATTAGTCGGACAACTAAAAATAGAAACAAAAAATAGGCCGGGCTCATGCCTCTAATCCCAGCTACTTGAGAGGCTGAGGCAGGAGGATCGCTTGAGCCCAGGAGTTTGAGGTGGCTGTGAGCTAGGCGGACATCACAGCACTTCCCCAGGGCAACAAAGTAAGACTCTGTCTCAAAAAAAAAAAAAAACCACACAAAACAAAACAAAAAAACACCTTGAACTAAATGTGATTCTGGTAGATTCTAAATCCAGGTATAATGTGGAGTTTTGCATTTAACAATATGTATTCAAAATATTGGCAATCAAACACAAATTCTTATTAAATGTTTATTGGTTGATTTGAGATAATCTATGTAGAACTTTACAAAAAAAGTACAATACATAAATATTTTATTGTATTAATGTAATATAAACACAGCCATTTAACTTTACCGAAAGTTTACCTTCTTTCCTAGGTCTTCTTTTCTGTATCCTAGAAGTTCAAGGTATTTTCCACGAGAATCATCCTCAAAGTTTACCTTTTAAAAAAGATATTCTTGAAACAAAGAACTACATTTAAAGGCCTGATTTTTATAAGAAATGATCAGATTCTAAGAATTATTAAAAATACTTAAAGTCTACTATGCCATTCTGAAGAGTCACTGCTAGAAAGAATCCAAAAATCAGTTATTTAAAAAATAAGATTTTTTTAATGGTAAGTATACAAGTAATTAATTATCCTGGTTGAACAAGCTTACTTTTGAATTATAATTTTAGCAAATACAAACTATTTTCCAAAGTTTAAATGAATGTAAAACTCACATTATGTGGAACATACTATGTCCTAAATAATCTCTTTGTCAAAATTAATACTTAATTACAAAACATAAAAATAAATTCTACAATTTTAGAATCTAAATTGTATTTAAGATTGCTTTTCCTTGGAAAATTCAGTAACTGCAATAAGAAACAGACATTCCACTGGAGGCAAAATGACAAACCAGGAAATTCTATTTGCTATTCCAGTGTTAAAAACACAACTCAGTAAAAAGAATGTTTTTCCCTCTAACTCCTCTTAAAGACAGGATGATAAATACCTCCAATCTCTCTCTCCTCTGTCTCTTTCCTCTTTTCCTATTTTCTGTAACTGGATCTACTACAGATAGTAAATATTCTATGTTCTTATTACAGTAAGCTCTATGTCTAATTTTAAAATAGGTATGCTGAATGTTATGTCTCTCTCCCCTAAATATATCTATTATATTATTTTTTGTTTACTTACTAAAAAAGTATTTCATATTAGGCTTTTCTAAGTAGAAAAGGAGGAACTCTTGACATAAGAAGTTAGGTTGTGTGCTCTTTATAAAGTTTCTTAATTTCATCATAAATTCCAGAAATCATACTTTCCATTTGTTTCTTTAATGGGAAGACAGTAGAATATAATGGGAACAGTTAAACTTGCGGATAATTAAATAACATGACTGTAAATATCAACTTTACCTTCAAAAAGGACCAGACATTTTTCTCAAACTCAATCTGCGAAGCATCAATTTTTTTCTGGCAATAAGCAACGTATCCTTGGGACCGCACGACCTGCTGGAGCTGGTCTGACCGGCTGAGGAACTCCTTTTCTGTGACGACCTGACTAATGAACACGAGCTGCTGCTGCTGCTGCTCAGCCCCCTGCTGAGACGGCACTCTGACACTCTCAAACGTAACCAGTTTGCCTCCAAACTAGAAAAGAACGAATGATCAAAATCAGTTTTAACCACAGGATATGGCCCCAAAAGGTGCTTATTGTAAACCCACTAAAGGAAAGAACTGTGGCCTAAACATACATCAGCTTGGAGGACGTTAGCTGACATGCCCTCCCATGCTCCACAACCTCCTTTAATTTCTACTCTTCCTCTCCACAATCCACCTTCTAGACGAAATGTACTATTTACTGTGCCCCACAATTTCTCAGACGCTTGTTTTTACTACTTTCCACACACCCAACACCACTACTTTTCCAAGGCCCTGGCAAACATCACCTTTCATCCCAGATGCGCCCTGCATAGTGTATCTCTCTTTTGAGTCAACTATTAGCTATACGTCTTTGTCTTACCTTCTGTTCTAGGCCCTAAGTTTCAAGGCAGGCTCTGTGTCTGCTTTTTTCTTACGCAATTACACAGTTAATATCTGATTAATATACTCATATGAAATAAATATAGAGAAAGAAGGAAACATAGGACCAAATTAGGTTTTCACACTTAGTAACGTTTATACAAGGATTAAGGGCTTTACACAAAATTATCCTATCAAATGTCAAGGTGTTCAAGGTGTTTCCTACGTCGGGCATCATAGGAAATGCCAAGACTTTAAAAAAACACAAATCGCTATCCTTAAGGAACTTAACATGAAAAATACTAAACAGGGACACAGTACCTGTTGGCAGTACTAAAAATGATACTTTTGATTCTTCATCTATACTTGGTTCCAAACTTGCTGAGCAAGAAACGAGCGTTACTTATTCTTGAATACTAGTAAGTAGAGGTGAGGAAATGGAGGGGGAAGATGTTCACTTTTCAGTCCAATGATAAATACACAGTGACACCTTCCATTTGACAGGCACCACTCCAGGCATTGGGAACACACCTGTGATCAGAGTCTCTGTTCTCAGTAGTTTACATTTGGGTGGGGAGGTGCTTTTCTGTACAGTTTGAACTTTTTTAAACCTCCATACATGTGTAATTTTATAATAAAAATGTCTTAATTATTTAGAAAAGAAAAGAACTAGTTAGCTGAACGATTAAGTTTCAGAAAAAGTGGTAAGGAAAGTGGAAAGTTCTAAGCAAAGGGAGAGATTCAAAGGCAGGAGTGCAGCTAGCAGAGAAGACCGGAGAGGACGGATGGGATTAATTCAATCCAAAGAATGGATTTAGGAATGACATCACACGTAATCAAATGTCCATTCTAGGACAAAAAATCTGGAGTAAGTCGTAGGGATTGCAGTAAGTCGACTGTCTTTTTCCACAAGCAACAGACACACAATCAAGCTATTTATTAGAAGAGTTTAGTTAAAAAGATAAAGGATTAGGCGGAGTAGTAGCAATGTAAAAGGAATAAATAAATCCAAGAGATTTATAAAGAGATCAATGCCGGTACTTGAGGAATGAATATGAGAGGCCAAAGAAAGAATTCTGAGCCTGGTTACTAGAAGAATGACAATGATTGAAATCATGGTAACTGCAAAGGAGATAATGCATTCAGTGTGGGGAAATGAGAACATACAGAATTATATGATGTGACTAACCATTACGATGATAAAAAATGCAATGGGGGTGAAGTAAATGATAAGTTTAGTATCTAAATTTTAGGCATGATTACCAAGAGACTCACTTTCTATCATTATGTATAGTAGGGTTTGATTAGACTGCCAGTAGAATAGCCAAAAGTTTTATAATTGTGTCATACTGGACAAGTTATTAATTTCTCTATGCCTCTCTTTCTTCATATGCAAAACAGCAGTAGCTATTTTATAAGGTGGTTGTGAGAATTAAATGAGTTACTGTATGTAAAATGCTTAGAACAGTTCCGAGTACAGAGGAAATAGCAAACATTTTAGCTATTAATATTACTGACATTTTTTTGTACCTGTAGGTTTTAGGGGAAAAGTGACTCAATATTGGACAAACGGCTTGTCCTATATAAGATTTTTAAAAACAGCAGTGAAATAAGAATATTTAGGAAAAGATTCCTTTTTTTTCCTGGTCTACAGGGATGGCCAGAGTTTTCTAAGCTACAGCTTGAGGATCACTGATAAACTGGAAAAGATAGTCCCTGGACAATTCATATATATATCCACTCTTGCCCTGATTCAAACATTTCTTCCTTCTAATAGCCTGATTCTATGTGATCAAGCTTCAAGGAGGGGACGGGTATATATAAACATAATGAGTGCGATGTGCACCATCTGGGGGATGGACAGGCTTGAAGCTCTGACACGGGGGGTAGGGGAGCCCAAGGGCAATGTAACCCAAACATTTGTACCCCCATAACATGCAGAAATAATAAAAAAAAAAAGGAGACAGAGGAACATTCTGGAAATACTACCAGGAAAAATATGTCAAACAATATCATGAAGATACAATCAGACAAATCTAGAATGTGAGAAATTCTACATAACAAATAACCCGGTTTATTCAACATACACACAGCAGCCAGGCATGGGGGCTCACACCTATAAGCGCAGTGACTCAGGATGCTAAGGAGAGAGGATTGCTTGAGACTAGGAGTTCAAGACCAGCCTGAGCAACACAGTGAGAGCCTGTCTCACACTGTCAACAACCATATGATCCAGCAACCTCACTACTGGATATGTATCCCAAAAAATTGAAAACAGGATTTTGAAGAGGTATTTACACACTCATGTTCACTGTGGTATTTATTTACAATAGCCAAAAGGTGGAAGCAACCTAAATATCTATCAACAGACGAATGGATAAAGAAAATGTGATACATAATACAATGGAATATTATACCATTTAAAAAGAAGGAAATTATGTCATATGCTAAAACATGGATGAACCTCGAGGATATTAAGTGAAGTAAGTCAGTCACAAAAAGACAAATACTGCATGATTCCATTAATATGAGTCATTTAAACTAGTCAAACTCCCAGGAACGAAAAGCAGAATGTGCTTGCCAAAGGTTGGGACAGAAGGAGGAAATGAGGAGTTGTTATTCAATGGATACAGAGTTTCAGTTTTGCAAGATGAAAAGTTCTAGAGATCTGCTGCAAAACAATGTGTTAACACTAGTGTAGCATACATTTTAAAATGTTTATGATGACTGATCTTATGTTATGTGTTTTTTACAATTAAAAAAGCTGGCAATTTAAAGAAAAACTAGAAAGAAGAAGAGAAGGAGAAAGCACACCTCCCCATCATAAAAAAAGAAAGGAAAGCTAAGGAAGACAAGTTTTTTTTAAAAAAGGGAGGAACTGTGGGTTTTTTTTTAGAGACAGGGTCTTTATGTGCCACCCAGGCTAAAGTGCAGGCAGTGGTGCCATCATAGCTCACTGTAACCTCGAACTCCTGAGCTCATATGATCCTCTCACCTCAATTTCCCAAGTAGCCAGGACTACATGTGCGTGCCACCATTCTCGGCTAATTTTTAAAATTGTTTATAGAGATGGGGTCTCACTATGTTGTCCAGGTGGTCTCAAACTCTTAGTCTCCAGTGATCCTCCCACCTTGGCCTCCCAAAGCACTGGTATTATAGGCGTAAGCCACCATAACTGGCCTGAACTGTGCATTTAAAAATGGTTAACATGATAAATTGTTATGTATATTTTACCACAATTTTATTAATAAAATAAGGAAAAAGAGAGTGTAGGCCCCGCCTTTCTGATAAACCATTTTGAATGATGGAAAACACATCTCAAACCCCAACTTCTTCCATCTGAGTGATCCCATAACACTTCACTATTGTGCCTGTGGACCATAAAAACAGAATCAACCTACTGAGAAAGAAGCACCGACGGGCCTTCGGATCCACTTGGGCGGCTTCTTCAGAGGCAGCACCATGCTGTGCTGAGCTGTCTGCTGTGGAATTTGTAATGGAGGAAGGGGCTGTCCTGTGCCAAAGGGATCAAGATTTCCAAAAGATGATGAAAGCTTAAAAAAAAAAAAAAGAAGGTGAGAATCTGTAACTTTGACACAAACTATGTCTCATTTTTTCAGGTCATATCTGAGAAATTTTTATCTCACAATTATGCAATTAATCAGCAAGGCTGATCAGTAAAGTCATTTTCAAAATAATTACGCAATATGATTTTTTTTTCCGGTGCTATAAAAAACTTTAACATTTTCTAATACCTTGTCAACTTGTTTCTGCCTTAAACCATCTGTGCTCCCTCCCATGATAGAATAAACACTGATACGTCCATCAAAAGAAGCAGCTGACAGGACAGCAGGATTTCGGGGACACCACTGAATATCAAAGCACCACTGTGTGTTGGTGGGAAGTTCATATAACACCTAGATCAACAAAAAAACAAAAACAAAACTCAGAAAAGCATACAGCCACTTGATAACCAAAACGCCTGAATTAATGTGGTCAACAAGTACATCTAAATTAAACATTTGCTTTCAGAAAGTGTCTTTGGCCAAGAAAAACAACACTAAGGTTTTTAAAGTATAATACAAGAACAGTCCAGTATAATTATTTATTATGATAAACAGGAATGTAACTTAAAATTTCAACCAGATTTGAAAAGTGTATCTTAAAAACTGAGGGTCTCTGGTTTTTATTGAAATGGTAGTAATGCATGCATCTGAAAGACCAGAACACTCTACTAAAGTTGGCTTGTTAAACTCTGAAAGATCAACCGTGTCCTGTCCAACTGTTTTCGTTTGGCAAGACCCAAACAACCATATTTAGGTTATGTGAAGATCAAATGTTTAAATCAATCTTGAGAGGAAAGAATTCACTAAGAAATCTCTCTCAAAGGACATGGAAAAAACTATAGAAAACGGCTGATATAAAATCTTTACAACGTTATGATTGTTGCTAACTCAAAGTTAGTGTGATGGTAACTACTATTCACAGAAGCAAGCATACATTTTAGGCCTTAAAAAATAATTCACGTGAACTTAACTTTGGCTTTATATGACATTCAAAATGTTTTACTTCATAAGAAAACATAATTAAGTGAAAAGATATTTAGCCTGCTTATATCTTTGGTATTGATGACACTTAAATCACCTGTCTATTCCTAATTTGCATTTGAACAAAAAGATCTAACTTTTTTCAGTTGCGGCATGCCCTGAACATCTCTTCATTCAAAGCCAAAGCGCACATAACTAATTATACACAAAAATTCATCTTATCAAATTATATAACTGAGAAAACGATGACAGAACAGTAAGTTATAAGAATTTTGGCCTTACTTGGGAGACACAGTGTAAAATGCAAGATTTTTATTATTTGGTCTACAAATCATATGAGATAAAATTTATTATTATTTTTTCTCTTGTCTCCTCTAACTTTAATGTTTTTATATTCTTACAGACATTGTTACATCCAAAAACTTCAAGCCAGAAATCAAATAACTAAAGTGCTTTTCATTTTAACAATATAGATTAAAACCTATTGAAGGCACTATTATTTTTATTAGTAGTCCATCAGAGTAACCACAAAAGCACTTACAACATAGGAATATAGAAAAGGTAAAAGTATAAAAGCTGTAATTTATATTCCTGCTTTATCATTCAGAAGAGAGACTGAAAAATTATATCTATTTGTTTCCAAAAGCGAAAGAGAATCTTCAGGAATGATAAACCAGGCAATAGACCCAAACCCTGTACAATTCTACTACATTGATGATATCAATTTCCATAAACCACATATGAAATAAATCAAATTAAGTATTTCTGAGTCTAGGTAATAAATACATTTTATTGGGAATGGGGAGGGGGTGATTATTAGTTTTAGTAATATTACTTCAACGACTGAAAAATTTCCTATTTCCTGGTTAAAACAGCTGGACTTAGATAATGTTCCTGATAAAATCTCTGACACACTGCCATATACTTTTCACAGAATAATGCGCTAAGGAATCCATATGGAAAATTTCTAACATAGCCAGAAATAATATGCTACAAAGACTATAATGTTGAGAAACATTTCCTCCCTATACCTCTCCTGTGTTTGGGTTGGAGCAGAGAATCTTAGCGTCTTTTCCGCAGCTCAGTAACAATTCAGGATCTGCCATGCTCCAAGCAATTGCCAAAATCCCCCTATAAAAAACACAGAGGGACAAGGAAATTTTTAATCTTGAGAAAACCAATCTCAAATTATTTCCAGCTAGGCTTTGGACACACACTGTTAACAGAAGTGTAATTTAATACAATCTTTCTAGAAGGCAATTTAGTAATGTGAATGCTCTTTGATCATTACAAAGACATAGATGTTCAATGTGCTGTGTATGACAGCAAAAATATAAAAACAAATGTCCACACCAATCATTTAATAATAAATTATAGGTCATCTTTTGATGAGAAAGTGTGTAGGTACAAATTATGTGGTAGAAATCTACTTCTTACTGTTATACAGTATTCACGATTAATGAAAATTAATTATATGGATAAATTATCCTATTTATATAGAAATTATATATATATATGAATGAGATATGTAAATTAAATGTTTTACCTATGGATAGGAAGGAAATCTAACTGCAGTAAGTCCTCATTTAATGTCATTGACAGGTTCTTGGAAATTGTGACTTTAAGCAAAAACAATGCAAAACAAAACCAATTTAACCACAGGCTAATGGCTATAAAGAACAGCTAAGTTCCCACAGCATACTTCTGATTACAAAAACATCACCAAACTTCTAAATAAAGACCCAAAACACTTCTAATAAGCAAATCAAGTTTCTTGGAACAGCAGCAGGATACCTGGCATGGTTTTCCAGGACACGAAGCGGAGAGGAGGCGAATCGAAGATCCCACATCTGGATCACTGGTAAGCGGTCATCCTCAGAGGCAAGGACCATCTGAGTAGCAACATCGGGATGCCACGCCAACCCAGAGCAATGCATCTGCAGATAGTGAAGGCCCACATGTTATCAACCCGATTACTTTATGAAAAGCCAAAATGAAACTTGAGGAATATGCCTTTATTAAAGCAAATAGTAAAAAATCATCAGTTCAGGCTTAGTTTATTTTAAAAACAAAATGAAAAACTACTAAATTTTATTGAACAATCTTAAACGATGGTCTTTTTAAAAATTTTTTGTTGAGACAGGGTCTCGCTCTGTTGCCTGGGCTAGAGTGCAGTGACATCATCATTGCTCACTGCAACCTCAAACTCCTGGGCTCAAGTGATTCTCCTGTCTCAGCCTCCCGAAGTAGCTGAGACTACAGAGGTATGTGCCACCATGCTCGGCTAATTTTTCTATTTTTTGTAGAGATGGGGGTCTTGCCATGTTGCTCAGCCTGGTCTTGAACTCCTGGCCTCAAGCGATCCTCCCACCTCAGCCTCCCAAAGTGCTAGGGTTACAGGCATGAGCAACTGTGCCCAGCCTAGACAGTAGTCTTAAAAGCAAAACGTTTGAATGATTTAAATTCATCCGCCTATTTGATACACACAAAACCTTCTGGTACAGAAGAATTCTATGCCAAAAGTGAGTTTTACTGTCAAAACTGCAACTAGAGAAAAAGTTCTATACATATTTAAAATATAATACTTTCA